GGGGTGAATTCTGAAGCTATTTCAGAGATAGACTAGACATGACTTGGCAAGTAATTGGATTAGGCAAGAGATGGAGGGGGAATGAAGAGAGCAAAGTGTTTGGAATGACTCAGGTTTTTAGCTTCCACATAAGGAAGAAGGCAGAGCTACCGACTAAGGCAGAACAGGCTGGGGAGGAAGAGTGTGTAAGGCTTTGGGCTGCACCCAGCGTCACTGAATTGCAAGTTAAGGTCTGAACCAGAAATGAGAGATCTCCAGAGAGATCTCGGACTCCATGTTCCACTGCCAACCCTTTCCAGACATTTCCTAGCAGTATTTCAGACCCATAAACACGAGACTTGGGGCGGAGGGCAAAACACAAGAGTTCAGTAGCCGTGGTTTCTAGAGCATAACAGAAAAGTATCTCTAGGTTCTGGCTGATGGAAATAAGTTCTATCTGACAGTTTTCAGGGCCGGGGGACACAATTAGTGAGGCTTGGGAGGTGCTTTAAGTTCAATCCGCTCTCACTGGTTCCTTGAACCTGAGAGCTAAACGCTCATCCCCATTTTAGAGATGAGAAAACAAATGCCCAAAGTTTAATATATTTTAACTCAAGTGGTTAAAATGAGAAATGGATTCAAAATAGTACCTGCATATATGAGGGCCTAGCATATGCCTGTGCCAGGTTGCTGTGCTAAAAACACCTGTCAAGTAAGACATCTTTCCACGGTGGACATGGATAGTGGGAAAGGCTGGAGGTGAGCTTTCAGCACCCAGAACAGAGAACCTCACATTGCATTCTTTTTTCAGGGTAGCACCTAGACCCCCAAGGCAGTTCAGTTCAACTTGCCAGCAGAGTCTCTGTTTGCACTCCTGCAGGCGACAGAGAGCTCAGCCCCTCCCAATTCAGATATTCTTGTGTTCCCTTTTAGCTCCAAGGGCTCATTTTTCTTCCTCCGAGTCCCTGAGAGACTCAGAGGTATCAAAGTGGATCTCTACTGACTCCTGATGAGGAAGGGGCGGAGACCACATTGCAAAGGCAAGCCTGCTCAGAGCTACCTTTCAAGTGCCTGATGGAAGAGACAGGAGCCTAAGCGAAGGGGTTAAACAGCCACAAGAAGACAGAAGGAATGGGCTGGGCAATCACCAGCAGCGCCTTCTGAAATATTTAAAGGTCAGAAACATGCAACCAATGAACAAGGAGCCAGGAACTGTCCCAAGACTTTAATTACCACTTCTGCGCTGACACGCCAAAATCTCTTTCCAGCTTCATCCCCTCTGAGCTGCAGACCCACATACCCAACAGCCTCCTGACCTTCCCTCCCACCTTGTGCATCTCTCTCTGTCCTCATCTCTAGCGCCTCCCGCCACACACTCATCCAAATCAACGCCTTCGTGCCTCCCTTCCTTCCCCTGTCACCCCAAATAAACAGCACGTTCCTTCAACTCTTCCTCCCAACAGCCTGTCACCCAGTTCTTAACAGGCCACCGTCCTATTTAGTGGAGAGGACTGCAAGAGCTTGGAAACTGGCCGCCTCGCCTCAGCCTCTCCCACGTCAATCTCTTCTTTCAAGGTCCCATAGTTAGAGCTCTGCCGGACAAATGCAACAAGCCCTTTCGCCATCTCCCCTCCCTCAATACTCAGACAGTTCAAAATGACATATGGGACCTTCTGGGATCTTGCTTATGGTTCTGGTCTTGTTTTCCTGCCTCCTGGCCCGTCATCATTAAAACCAGACTAATCTTAAAACTGCCCCCAGATACTGGACTTTCGTATTCTCTACACAAGCTCTCATGTAATTCTGATACAAACCTACACTAAGAAAAACGTACTATGGCATGTACTTTCTTATTTGCTTCCTGGTCTCTGCGAAGTCATTTCCTTAGCTCCCATACATTCCCCCGCCCCTTCCCACATCTGCTGGTGATTCTTCCCGGCCCCACCCACGCTGGAATGGCCCTCCTACACTATCCTAATACCTTATACCCACTCCCACCCAACACTTAGAATCTACATATCTGTACTGCCACGGTCCCACTCTGAAGAAGGGGAAACTGAGCTTTGGGTCTTTATGACAAATTTCTGTAAGCACGTGGCAGAGCAGGGATGTGAAAACCAATCTCTTAAGCTCTTACTGCGCCAGAGGGTGCTTGTCTTTTACTACTCCAACACCCAGATAGCATTTGGGCACCCTGGGCCGGAGGCAATGGAAAATTACGGGAACTGGGACTCCCACCGATGGCTGTAATCCTCCAGAGCCATGCAGAGGGTAGAAGGCAGGCAGAATTGCTGAGCCTTTGCACGACTTGACTTCAAACAACCGCTTTTCCTTTCTTAGAACAGCTGGGATGAGGAGGCAGACAACTGTAAGGTGGGGATGAAAGCACCACTTCTCTATTCCTGACACTTTCTCCTTTTCAGTGTTCTGCCCTGAGCATAAGCCCAGGCAGTGCGGCAAAGCAACCCTCAGGGCGGTAACGGCCCATACACTGCCATAGCCTATGCGCCAGCAAGTGCAGAGCTCCCTGGATGCGTTACTGTATAGTCCATCCTTTTCACAGGTGCTGTTCCCCCCTTCTGTAGGTAAGGAAATGAAGGCTCAGAACCCTTAAAGGATCCACCCGAGTGCGTAGCACTTATCAAGTGGGAAGAGTCGGATTCTTGGCCAGCTCTGTGTGTCACTGCTTCTGGAGTGTGTACACGGCATCCCCACCGTTTATTAGGACACGGATTCTGGGGCCAGGAGGACAAAGACAACCTGCCTGCATGGGTCCTCAGCACCTAAGCGAAACAGCCAGGTGTGGCAAAGCGTGACCGGGAGGCCGAGCCAGTGAGGACCCCTGCAGTCCCTGGCCAGATAACCCAGCTCAGTGAGTCCCCACTTGAGAGTGACTGGGGCAGCTACTCATTGGCACCCTTTGGCTTCTAGATGCTCACACACACACAGCCCTCATGATTGGGAGGTGTGATCTGTGCCATTCTAAGCTCGGACCAGGTCTTAGGTGGGACCCAAATCTGTCCTTTAAACGAGCTCTCAGGCAATTCTGATACCAACCAGCCACACACACACACACACACACACACAAAGTACTATGGTGGGTTGGTTAAGAGCACTGGCTACTCTTCCAAAGGACCCGGGTTCAAGTCCCAGCATCTACATGGCAGCTCACAACTGTCTGTAACTTCAGTACCAGGGGATCCAACAGCCTCACACAGACACACATGTGCAAAACACCAATGCACATGAAATTTAAAAAAAAATAGATATATTTTAAAAAGTTCTTTTAAAAAATGTACTAGGCGATGCTTTTCCAACTTGAGCTCCTCTGGAACACCAAATTATCACATGCACACACACACACACACACACACACACACACACACACACACACCAGACATAATGCAAAACAGATGGGGTAGGGTGTTCCCTGGTTAAGTAATTTTTTTTTTTTTTCGGAAATATTGCACATTCTGTCTTTCTGACAGGTTTACAGTGATCATTACCAAGCTGTATTTAACAGAGCATTTCCCAAATTTGCTTAACCACAGAGTCCTCCTCTATTAACAGCACCCGTTAACATCTCACGAAACCCGGCACGGGGAAGGAAGTCTGGGAAACACTGCCGTCATACTCCGTCTCAGCCCACACTGGCCCCTCTACTCCCTTCTGCTAAGTCTGCCATAAAAGGAAGTTCAAAGCTCTAATGGCCTCACCCTCACTTGCTATGTGTGACCTTTAAGCCTCTCAGGGCTTGCTCCTCAGCCGTACGTCAAAACAGCAAGCCTTGGATGCCTACAGGGTCTTCGTACCAGCATAGTGGAGGGGGTCCAACTGCTGTGCAGGGGCCAGCACGATGACTCAGTGGCTAACGGTGCTTGATGCCAGGTCCAAGGAGTTTGAACCTCAGGAATTCCTGTGCATGGGCAGAACTCTAGTTTCCGCCCCTGGCCCCCATACACACACAAAGCAAATGTAAGAAATGCTGTAGTAACTGGATAGGACTATCCATCTTTTGGCTTGTGACTATGGTCAATCAAGGCTTGCTAATAACCCATTTGGTTCCGTTTTCTACTTTTCTTGCATGAAATTAATCTCTTAAATTACTCTGTTATCAGGACAATTATTTTGTCCAGTGTGAAGGGAGGGGGCAGCTTTGAAAACTCCTACAGAGTAATATTACACTTAACTGTATAGCATATCCTCTACAAGAATCACACAGTTCCTCCTAATAACTCTGTGAGGCGAGGACCACTATGTGACCCGTTTTATGAAAGGTAACTAACTCAGAAAAACGACTTAAAACTAGTGTGGCCGAGACATGATTCTACTTTTGACTCAAGACTGCATTTAACGGCCTCCCCACTCTTGTCGCCTGGCTGATTAAAACATCGCTATCACGTTCCCGGCTGGTGTGAGGCAGGCTCTAGCAAGGGAGGAAGACGCACCTTGCAGACAATTCAGGTTCTTGGGTCTGCCGCCTAACTACCTGGTGACTTCAGATAAACCCTGTCTTCTCTGTGTTTCACTTTTTCTACCTGTGAAATGACGCGGGACTACCGTGAATGGTGTACGCATCTCACTTCTGGCACCTCCTCCCACTGACTGTCCTGATTATTTTGTCGCAGTACGAGCTGGGTGAGTCGGGAAACCTGTTTTTATCCCACGCCCAGAAAGAAACCAGGGGACCAGAGCTTTGCCAGCACAGAGGACCCTGCCCCATCGGAGACTTGAAAGGTGAGCCTTGATCCGGCCCAGCCCGAATCTACCTATCCAAAGCCCCCAAACTCTGGCTTGAGCGACGTCAGAGGGGACGCGACACAACCTCTCGAGTGGTCCTAGGTGACGTGTGACGAGCGCGACAGACCGGCCGCCTTTGTTTCCCGCTCACGCAAGGCCTTTCTGAGGTGAACCTCTGCGTGGAGAGGGAGCAGATAGAGCGAGGAGAAAGAACCGAGGATGGAGAGTGGTCCCGGGCCTCTAGACAAAGTCCAGACATTGATGCAGCCGCTACAACTCACCTGCCCGTAGGGATAGCTGGCCATGGCGATTATGACGTCATACGGTGGTGGGAGGCAGGGCTTCCTGCCCGCCAACGCCTCTCTCGTTGGGCTTGGGGGCGGGCCCACTTGTGACTGGCCGGTAAGGCTGTCAATCTTCCGGCCAACAAACGGAAGTGCTACTTAGGGCGATGGGCGGCTACCTAGCAGAGGGACTGGAGGAGCAAGAGGGGTCGGATAGGAGTGTCCGGAAGTGTTGGTGGCGGTAGTGGAACGCTTGTTTTATTTTTTTTGTGTGACCTGGAGCTGACCAGGTATCTGTTGGGTAGACCGGGTCGGTTGTTTCTGTGGTGGCCATATTAGAACCCGGCAGATCGGACACTTGTCAGTTACATCACGTTCTCTGATCATTTTATTTTGACACCCAGGCGGTTGCCATGGCAACTGGGAGCTGGAATGCAGGTGCCATATAGTACTTGGGTGCTAAACAGGTCTTTAGACAGTGGAGAAAGGTGAAGCCTCCAGAGTAGAAGGAAAATTAAGACGACCTGGTGTTTCTTTCTTCATAAATGAGGAAACTGAGGTCCAGAAAGGCAATGAGTTATTTGCCTAAATTCACAGTGAGTTCACAACAAAGTGCGGCCTAGGATTAGTGTTAGTGGATGGTTAGTGTTAGTGTTAGGTCTCAACAAGGAGCTCTTGTCCCCTTTGTAGGTCAAATTCCAGTTCCTAAGTAACCAACATCATGTACTTATCTCTTGGGGTTTAGGTTCTATACTTGTTTGCATGCTTATTTGATTAGTTAAAGTCCCATGTGGCCTGGCATGGTGGCACATGCCTTTAGTCTCAGCACTCAGCAGGCAGAAGCAAGCCTATCTACATAGAGAGTTCCAGGCCAGCCAAGGCTGCCTAGTGAGGCCCTGTCTCAAAAAACAACAAAAAAACCTCCCATGTGGACAAGAATTGTGTCCGGTTTGCTTGTAATTGTTTACCCCGTATCTACAGTGCCAACACTATACTTTTTAAATAAATGAAAAAGATTTATGAGCTGTCAACCAGCCAGGCCAGTTTACCATCTAGCCAGGCACTTTCCAAAACCCTGAGTGTTAATCATGTCCACAGGACAGCCCACACTGCACATTCCTCATCCACACCTGCAAAGGAAGACAAATATGCTCCCAGGCCCTTCATGATCTGGCCTAGCCTTACCCAGTCTGTGTCCCACTCTATTTCTGTGCTCAGTCTCCCTCTTCAACACTTGCTTTGGTGAGCAGATCTTGTTCCTTTCCTTTTGTAAAATCAGTTTCTAGCTATGTGATCTTGTGAGTGCTGTGTTACTTCTCTGAGTCATGGTTCTCTCCTGTCAGTTGAAACAATGTTAACTTGAAAATGAACTTATTAGAGCCTCTCAGACTCAGGCTTAGGGCCACACCACTCATAGAGAGACCGGTGGCCGTCTGGCACTCAGTCCTTCACAGCCACCCTCCATTTAACCTCCCTCATGGTTCCCAGCTCACTGGCCAGTCCCACAGTCTCACTTTGCACCTAGTCCTGCTGCTCTAGGTCTAGCCCAAATCAGAATTTTCTGATGATTTCCACAAAACTCATCCCTCCTGGCTCAGAAAATTGGCACACTCGCTCATGCCAAAGACCCAGGATCATTCTCACGTGTCTGTTTTCTCCACATACTCCCCAACCTCCACTTGCTCTTGTTCAAAAGTATATCCCATCAGTTTTTGCTCCACGTTACAACTATCACTCTGCTCCTGGAGCCCTCTGTCGTCTGGCCTCCCCACCAGTGTCTTCTTACACAGCTCCAATACTCCTTTCTCCACTGAGAAGCCAGAGAACCAGAGGAGACGCCTTAAAATGTGGCTTAGATATTGTCATTCTCCAGACTCCTCTGAGGGTTTCCCGTCGCCTTTAAACAATAAAATCTAAGGTCATCCTATGACTCTATGGTCCTACAGGACCTAGACCCTGCCTGTGACACCAGCCTCACTGATGCCATCGCTGTCATCCGTTCCCTCCAGCCATGCTGGCCTGGTCACCACCCCTCCCCAAAACAAACCAAGCTCATTCCGTCACAGGATCTTTGGATTCTCTCCTCTTTGTTTAGAGGGTTCTCCCCTTAACTTTCCACTTTTCTTTTCTTGTCATCCAGGTCGCAGTTGAAATACTACTTTGTGGATGAGTGGCATCCTTGATACCACATCTAAGATATCTTGTCTCTCAAGCACATGTCTGTCACTGTATCTCATTTTGTCATAGAATGTGCTATATTGAATTGTCCCCTTTTAGGATTTGCATGCACATCATAAGGTATACATGTGTATTGCAGGATTATCCTGTTCTTTTGTAAAGATGCATTTATAGTTACATGTACTTGTGTTGTATGAGACTATTAATATTTGCTATTGGTTTATCTTTTATTAAAGCTGTGGTTAATCCTAAACAGCTGTATACCCAAATCACCACACAGAGACTGGGATTTATTTAATTAACCTAGAACACAATGCTGGGCAATAGTTACTTCATCCAAAACCTCCAAGCCCTCATAGTTTCTTAATATTTAGATTTCCCACATTATACTTGCTTTAAGTGATATATTACGTCCAGTCCATCTCCCCACATCATTTCAAGATCTCTCTCCTGTCTCTGTTTCTCCCAGCTATCTCCCTTCTCCCTCCTCTGCCTCCCACCTTCTTGTCCTCTGGCTCCTCCCTCTCTTCCTGCTTCCTTTCCCTTGCTCAACATTGTGGCTAGTTGCTTTATTTTGGCATGTTTACAGAAAGTTGAGACAGGTGATGCTTAGAATAAATCTCACAATGCAGTGTCTGGATTGAAACCAGAGAGTGGGGGAGAGAAATCAGCATTTGAATGAACAAGGGTAAAGTGTATACATTCCAAAAGAACATTACACCAACATACTTGTATGTGTCTCTGTGTGGGTATGTGCATGTGAATGCAGGTACCTGTGGAGGCCAGAAGAGGGCATCAGATCCCCTGGAGATGGAGTTTCAGGCAGTTGTGAGCCAGCCTACCTAGGTGCTGGGATCTGAACCTGGGTCCTCTGGAAAGGTAGCAAATTCTCTTACCTGCGTAACTCCAATTGGAGTTTGTACTCACTGCCTAGAATAGAGCCTGTATGAATTTAGTAAGTATTAATGGTTGATATTATCATCACCATGCATTGAATGTTTACTTGCTATGAGATATTGTGGCCTGAATATTGTTCGATTACCAGCACAGTCTTTTAAGATAATTGTTATTACCTAGTTATAGAGGAGCAGAGGACTAGAGATGCTAAATGACATCTCTGATATAAAAAAAGATAAATGGCCAGCTGGAGCATGGGGGTGCACGCCTGCAATCTCAGTATGTGGGAGGCTGAGGCAGGAGGATCACTAGTTCAATGCTAGCCTGGGCTGCACAGCATCATGTCTTCCTCCACCCATTTTGGAGAGATGGCTCAACAGCATTTGTTCCTCTTGCAGAGGACTCAGTTAGGTTGCTCACTACCATCCATAACTTAGTTCCAGGGGGATCAGTTGCTTTCTTCTGACCTCTGAGGGCCTTATGCACACATGTAGCACACTTGCATAGGTGCCAGCAAAACAGTCATACACATAAAATAAATAAATCTAAAAAAATATTGATGGAGAAGCTGGGATTTCAGGCCAAGCTCAGACTATTTTAACAATGCAATGCTATTATTAATGTCATGTCAAGTTATAGGCCAGGAATCTGGCTTGGGTGTGAGGGACTCAAGAAACCATGCCAGGCCACTCATCCCAAAAGACAAAACAGAAAAAAAGGGGTTAACACAGGAAAGAAGTTGAATCTGTCCAGCCATCATGGCAAGGAACGGGAACCAGCATCGCCCATCCTGGCTTCATGGAGCTAACAAGAGCTCTGAGTTTATATAAGGAGCAAACAAAAGCTGGTGGCAGGAAAAATACCACCAACAGCTCCAGCCATGGTCTGGGTAATCGTTATCTCAGAGTGACGTAGAGAGAACCTTCTGGGTGGAGGCAAAGTTGCAGCTGTTTGAGGCACAGTTTAGACTGTAGCACACAGTGTTTACCAATCAGACCTGTAATTCCTGGAATCCAGCATAACTGCAAGAGAATATGACTCAGGATAAGTCAGGAAGACAAGGTGGAGTCAGATCAGTAATTGGTCCCTTCAGTCTTTTATTATTTTTTTTATTTTTATTAATACAGTTTATTCACTTTGTATCCCCCTGTACCTCCCTCCTTCCTCCCCTCCCAATCCCATCCTCCCTCTTCCCCACCTGTGTCCCTCTCCTAGTCCACTGATAAGGGAGGTCCTCCTCCCCTTCCCTCTGATCCAAGTCTATCAGGTCTCATCAGGAGTGGCTGCATTGTCTTTTTCTGTGGCCTGGTAAGGCTGCTCCCCCCTCAGGGGGAGATGATCAAAGAACAGGCCAATCAGTTCATGTCAGAGAAAGTCCCTGTCCTCATTACTATGGAACCCACTTGGATACTGAACTGCCATAGGCTACCTCTGTGCAGGGCTTCCAGGCCATCTCCATGAGTGGTCCTTGGCTGGAGTATCAGTCTCAGAAAAGACCCCTGTGCCCAGACTTTTTGGATCTGTTGCTGTCCTTGTGGAGGTCCTGTCCTCTCCAGGTCTTACTATCTCCCACTTCTTTCATAAGATTTCCTGCACTCTGTCCAAAGTTTGGCTATGAGTCTCAGCATCTGCCTCGATAAGACAATGATTAGCGATTTCCAGGCACTGCTCTTGTGCTCTGGAACAGGACACTGCAAGAGCAGTGGTTGTGCACACCTTTAATCCTAGCACTGGGAAGGCAGAGGCAGGCAGATCTCTGAGTTTTGGCCAGACTGCTCTACAGAGCTATTTCCAGGACAGCCAGAACTACACAAAGAAACCCATTCTCGAAAAACAAACAAATACTATTTTTTTTAAAAGGAGTCTCATCCGCCAGCATTTGGGAGGATGAGGTAAGAGGATGCTTTAGTCTTTTCTTCTTCCCCCCCCCCCCCCCCCCCCCCCCACCGAGGCTCATGTATCCC